TAAACCATTTTATCTCTGACCGTTTATTCAAAGATCTCATGTGCACGAGCAGTGTGACCCTCGATGGTTCAGGTGTAAGCTAGCCGTGGGCCCACAACTCTTTGTGGTCAAAACTCGTCCCTTAGAGTTACGATTAAGATTAAGCTCGTTTCACCTTAATCACCCAACGAATCAAGATTGGCGTCTAGCAACTACGAGTCATGATTCTCTAGATACAAATGAAGTGCCTGCAAGAAACTTCAGATATAGTTAACGTACAGTATGATCCCTTCGATTCATATGTCCCGATTGAACTAGAGGCATTGGTTCATCGAGACCTCTTTATTTGTTCAATGACCGTGCGATCGTTCTAAGTGTTGTAATCGTTACGTGCATGACTTAGAGAATCGAATTCTCTAATCATCACTCAGTCAGCTCTGGCCAGAAACTTAGAATGATTACAAACTATCAGAACACACAGGGCATCCAAGACTATTCTAGCGATCGAATCCCCGACTACAATGCATAGACCTCCCACTAGATTTCGGACTGCACGAACACTGGCCCTTGGGATGGTTCTCGGTGGAACTCAGGGACAGGTCACGATACAGCTGGTCCTCTACTGAAGTCACGGTGATGTCTAGGTCATAAGGACTAATGGTGTACAACTATACCATAGATATATCTACTCGATTATTGGGAACCACTTAGAGATTTCTAGGGTGAGGGAGTTCAGTGAACTCGTCAACTTACGAGCACCCACTTATGCATGTCGATATCACAATACCGTTTACTGATGAGATGCAGTACACATACACTAAGTGCTAGTCTCTTAATGGGAAAGGTCGATATCCTCATTGGTGGCGTAACCCTTCGACTGGGAACACGTTTAACAGTTATAATACTTAAGTAAATATCTCACGATCCTAACGATCAATTACTAGTACTTGTAATAATTGTAAGGACTATATCAATGCTTGTGACAAAGGGACAAAGATATAGAATGCCAAGGTGTTTTATCATTAAACGAATAAAGGTTCGTTTATTACCATAATAAATACGAAAGACCACAGCCACATGTTGGCTTGTTGGTCACCTACTCTAACACTTTTGTGCACCACCATCGTCACCGAGGTCAACCCATTTAGAGCAGAATATCTTAAGAAAAGGAGCAGAATATCTGTAGAACAAAAGAGTATATCGGGGTTTGTATGCTGATAAAAAAAAAAAAAAAAAAAAAAAAAAAAAAAAAAAAAAGGATTTTCTAGGCAAATTTCTGAAAATTTCAATTGTCATTTTTGTTGTGGAGTTTCTAGGGGTTCTAGGAAAAATCTTAAAGCTCAATCTCACAATTTCCGACCCTCGATTTTGCTCCGCT